TGTCTGGTCATTCATTTACAGATGAGAAACTCCAGGCTGAGAAAGGTATAGGAACTTGCCTATGGCCACTCTAAGTAAGTGTCAGAGCCAGGGCTGTGAGCCCAGATCTGTCGACACCCAAAGCCCACATTCCGCCCACGCTGCCACGCTGACTGTCATCATCGTCTTCACTCGTCTTCTGACAAAGCGGCAAACACAAAATGCTCACTCTGGGAATGACACTCTGAGTGCTCTTATAATCTATCACATCTATATCTTTATATATAGATGCCAATTCATATTACATAACCTGTAATGTCCACTCTAGATGCGTCGATGTTGGGCTGTAACATTTGGGTGGTAATAAAATCACGGCTAGGTTTTAGAATGGATGATAATTGTGCTGAACAAGCTAGAACCTGATCCGCTGACTTCCAGGTTAAAGCACTTGTGAGTCTGAGTGGCTGAGGCCTGCAGGTTCTTGGGGCACACACTATGGAAGCAGGGGTGTCCAACCTGTGGCCTGTAAGCCACATGCGGCCCAGGATGGCCGTGAATGCGGCCCAACACAAAATCATAAATTTACTTAAAACATTTTTTTGCTATCAGTTTTTGTTAGTATTTTTGTATTTAATGTGTGGCCCAAAACAACTCTTCTTCCAGCATGGCCCAGAGACACCATAAGGGTGAACACCCCAGAAGGTGTCTTGCCCCATTCACCTGCTGGTGCAGCAGACTGCACCTGTGAGCTGTAGGCTGGGAGGGCAAGCTCAGTGGCACTCAGCGGTGTACTGGCCTGAAGGCCATCAGACTGCAGTGTATCCCGGAGTCTAACATTTCTCAACATTCCATCGCAGAACTGAAACACCGTGTAGAGCAGAATTTCACTTGGGAAAGAACTGGGCGTGATTCTAGAACAGTGCTCTAAGTACCGCCGGATTGAAGACCCCACAATCACTCCCCTTCCTTTCTGCTTGGAGACAGGCTGACCCCATACAGGAACCATGAATCTGCCAGCTGGGCATAGAAGTGTTTTATGGGTATTTAGGGGCTCCTGCTTAGGATGGGTGCTATAAATTCAAAGAGTAAATGTATGCACTGATAATAAAAACCTAATATAAGGAAAGTTTCTGAGTTCAAAAGAAAACCAACATGCTGCCTGACAGATTCTGCTGAGGTGCAACCCATATATAATGCTGTGTCTGTCTCCCCGGAGTGAATCTCTTCTTTCTCTGTGACAAAATTGCAGAGACAGCAAAAACAAACGGCTTTCAGCCCCAATGTCACAGCCCAGTGGGTGAGGTTTCCTTTAAAAATGCAGTTCTCATTAGAAGACACAGCAAACCCCCCAGAGCCCAGCAGACTGACGGTGCCCACGGAACACAGCCAGCTACCCACAGGACAGAGCACTATTTGGAAGCCTCCTATCACTTCTCTATTTGAAGGTACAGGTTTGAGTGTGAGGTTCCAATACCTAAGTGAGAACATAAAGCAGTTTGAGTCTAACACCATCTGGAAAGCCTTAGGAGGTTCACATTATCTTTGCATCTGCCACTGAGAAGAAAAATCAACTCTGATTTTTACAAGGGGCTGAAGCCATTTAGGTCGGCTGGAAGGACAGCCCCAGACACCCTGGCAGAGCACAGCACCATCCCTGTGGTACTCTCTTTCCTTTTCACATTTTTCCTTTAAAGAGACAGATGAAAATCCAACCATAAAAGTACCAAATGGAGCCGCACCCATGGAGTCTGCCCCTGAGTCACTGAGGAAGCATCCCGCAAACACGACAACATGCCTGCAAGAGTGCTCACAGAAGCTACATCAACTTGGTGTTCCAGGTGGCAGAGTTGAGAGCCAGACCAGTAACAGTTCTGTGCACGAATCATCCCCAGGAATCAGCAAAGAAAGCACAAGGTTTCCAACCTTCTTCTCCTGTTCACATTACCAGACTGGAGCCTTTGGACTTACAATATCAAGCTTGTTATGCAAAGGCACATTCTAGATGGCATGGAAAAAGAATCGCGTGGACTCAGATCCTGCCCTCTCATGTTAGAATTTGCCCATCCCTTTTCCTGTCCTTATAGTTTAAATGATACATGCTATGAAAGGCTCCGTTGCTGCATAGAATGCTGAACCTATCAGGCTTATTGCACAATGAGTGAACTTAAGAAGAAAGGTATTTTATTTATAGTACCACTGTATCACAATTTAATTTCCTTTTTACCATAGCAACATGAGGCAGCATGCACAAATTCTGCATTGGTGGAATCTCACCAATAAAACATATTTAGAATCCTGCTTTGTGGGGGGAGGGGGTAGCTGATAAACTGCCTAAACACAATACAAATTCTTAACTGAAAATCCCAGCCAGATTATGTGGCCTGTCAAGAAAAAAGGGGGTGGAATATTTGGCTGGATTCAACTGGGGGTGTTTTGCTGCATTCTTGCGGGACTCACTTTAAGCCAGGTAGGTGTGTGCTCAGCTGCACTCACAGAGCTCGCGTCTTTGAGTTAATACCCAAACTACCATGACAGTTATGAGTGACATTTTCTTTTTCACCAGAATATCCCAAGGCAAGTGAGGCTCTGCCTGCTCAGTGTGGTCACTCTGTATGGTCACTCTGTGTGGTCCCTGTATGGCGACTCTGGGGGTTGAAGTTTGTTGTATTTATAACTATACAGTTGGCCTTTGAACAACATGGGTCTGAATTCCATGGTTCACACCTGCATAGATAATTTTCAATAAATATCTATACTATTTTTGATCTGCAGTTGGGATTCTGGATGTGGGAGGCCTACTGTCTGCATTGATCTATACCATTTTATACAGGGGACTTACCTTCAGCAAATTCTGGTGCCCGTGGGGGTCCTGGGACGCATCCCCTACTGATATATCAAGGGACAATTTAAGTTCTGTGGGAGTCAAAGGATTTTCAGCTGCTCAGGGGATCAGTGCCTAATCTCCCACCCCATGTTGTTCCAGAGTCAACTGTCCTTCATTTTCCTCCTCTAATAAAATCCTAAATAGCTTCTTGAGTCCAGGAAAGGAAACTGTTGCTTTGTTACATAAAGTAACACTAGTGTGGTGTCAGCACCTTGCAGAGTATGTTATCTGAGCGCCGGTTAAAGTTTGCCTACATTACAAAGATTCTGTGAAACAGTATCGTATGGGTCTATATTCTGTTACATCAACCAGACATACTTTACAGGAACACTCATGGGCTTAACGGCAGCAAGAATATCTGTCTAAAGTTCAAAAGGAGTGACATCTTATTATGAACAGCCATCGATTTCCTAATTAGTTTATCCAAGTTTACCAACCCATTAACTCTAAGTCCTGTGGATCATATTTTGATGACATGTAACCTCAGTACAGAAGGTGCATGGCAAGAAGGCCTAAGAAGGAAAGTGCTAATATTATAACTAATGAATGGCTGCAATCTTATTTGCAAGCTGGGAGTGGATTCTGGGAGGTCAACACAGACGGCTGCTTCAATGACACATCCTCAGTGTTTTATTTCCAGCGCGGCCTGTGGGCGGCTTGCCTCACCTTTGATATGCGAGATGCTCGTGTCATATGCAGCCCAAAGGGGTCACCTGGAGTGTGAGGAGATGTGCAGATCCTGTGCCCGCTATGATCAAGTCCAGATTAGGGTGCTAGCCTTGCTCCTCCTTTAAAACTAGCAACTAAAATTGGGGTCGCTTCTTTCAAATACAATAATATAATTTTTCTGTGTTAGTGAAAAGTGAAACGCTTAAGGCCAAAAAGCATCTCTGACTCACCCACTCATCCATAACAGAAGGGTTTAAAGAAAAACAAAGAGAGTTGGATAGAATTATTGAGAAATCAAATACCAAGTTATTCTTCTTTAAAGCTTGTGTTTACAAAACACTTGATCATTATTCAAAGCTGGATTTTGCATAAACAGAGCTTGTTCCTGAACACACAGCACAGCTCTGAGGACTGAGGGGAAAAGAGACAGAAGTGGATCCCACTGTGACCGGAAGCCACACCAGGGCAGAGGGTCCAGTCGCTGTTCCTGGCATCACGTGGACATGATGGGTTTTTCCCTGTAGCTTATGTTATCGAAGTAGGAAAAAAAAATTTTAATGTTAATGAATTTTAATAGCAATCTTTTTAAAAATATGTGCTTCCTTGCACGTTTAAACAAAATGGTAGTGATCGTTAATAGAAACGCGCTATCACATAGTGACCCCCTTGGGGGCTACAGCAGTGTGCGTGCACTCTTTACTCCGGGGCTCCCAGAGTGGCGCCTTTGTGACTCTGACCCACCAGCTACGAGAATGCAAGGCCGAATTGACCGTTGTCTCATAAGAACAGATAACAATCTGGTTATAGCCGTAAACGTACTGTATGTAATAGTAAACAAGCACGTTTGGCTGTAAATACATTTTCACAACTGATCTACAAGTTAACGTACATATATGTGTATGTATGTGTGAGCGTGTGTGTGTGGGTATTTTCACCTCATTTCCCAGAAGCTTTTTTCTATATTCAAAATACCCTATATTTCTGTAATCTAAATGATCTTTTCCCCATATTCTGAATGGTTAGCTGATAGAAGTCTGGCCACCTGCTGAATGTATCCTGTCCGGTCTTGGGAATAGGAACCTTTACCCTAGTTAATAACAAAGAAACTTGGAGTTCTCTTATTCCATCCTTCCATTTATATTCCAATTTATCTATGTGTTCTCTATCTCACTTCAAACCCAAACTGAGCTGTTTCTACCTCCTCCATGAGGCTACCCTCAAAAACAATTTTTAAATAAATTCCATCACAAGAAAAATTGACAGCGTCACTACCAGAACACACCATTCATAAATGTAAATTCATTCACAAAGTTTCATTTCAAGTCTCCCTTCGCACCCAGGGCCGGGCACAGCTGCCAGTGCACTAAGCTGTCTTGGAGCTGCTTTTGAGCATGACAATGTATCAGCATTAGCCATAAAGTCAGCAAAATCTCTGTATATTCATTTGCGTTTACTTCTCCCCTTCCAGGTGGGCAGCAGGCTGAAGAGTCCCAAATTACCGATTTGGCTGTGCGACATCAATGGAAATTGCAGTGTCCTTTTCAGCACAAACAGGCAGCTCTTATCAGACTGGAAAATGGAGCGGCTCTTTGATCTGTACTTTTACAGTGGGCAGCCCTCACAGAAAAAGCCTGCCCGTCTTACCGTAGGTGAGCATTTCCGACTCCACGTGCTGTGCACTTTAATGTGCTCAAAGAGACATTTAACAGCTGTGTGGATATCCGTGCTAGGTCTGCGGGGAAATGCTCAGGTTGATTTCTGAAATGAAACCCACCTGTGAGCCCTATGAGCCCCAAGCCCAGCGCTGTAACCTGGGGGTTCTAAGCCTGCTGTAAATAAGAGCAGGAGTTAGAAGTAGCTCAAGGAACAAATAACTTCCAGGTTAAAGAAAAAACAAAAGGTGCAGTCAAATTTCCAAAAAGCCTTCTCCAGGGTCTTTTATCTTTAGGCATGTGGTATTTAAAACCTGAGGAAAGAACCAGAAAAAAACAAATGGCTTGGGAAGAAGGGTTCCAGTTGGTCAATTCTATCTCACAACCAAACATCAGATGATCATCCAGTGACATGAGGAACCGAAATGATGGTGCATTTCTGTTCAGATTAGTTCAAAGAGCCTTTAGGAGGGCCTACCAAGTGCCAGGCACTGTGCTAAACTCTAGGAAAGCCAACTAAACTCAGGCATGGTCCCACAAATATTCGGAGGTTCTAGTCCAACGGGAGAAGCAGACAACCACACAGGTCATTTCATTCCATCTCAATCACAAATTTAAACTTGTGAGGAAAAAAGGCTAACCTTAACATGTCTTTAAACACTGACCCTTCGGACAAGGGAGCAGAAGGGATGAGAGGGCGAGTCTGTGTGCGGTAGCTCGGCCTCACACGGAGGCTTGTTGGTTTGATCTCTGGGTCCTTGTGCTGACATCATCGGCCTGTTCATTATCATGACCAAAGCCGAAAAAGTATCTTAGTGACTGATTTGTCTGTACAGATCCTAAATCTTTTTCTTTAATTATGAGAAATATATATTAGCCCATTTAATTTAGTGGGACATTGGCAACATGTTCATTGAAATATATTATCATTTCTACTTTACTGTCCTCTTTGACAAAAGTATGATTTTCTTTTTATCCCCACCTGAGGACATGCTTATTGGTTTTAAAGAGAGGGAGTGAGGCAATGAATTGGTTGCCTCCCATACATTCTGACCAGGGACCTGGCCCCCAACCTAGCCATGTGCCTTGACCAGGTATTGAACCTATAACCTTTTGGTTTACAGAACAATGGCAGCTCCTACCATCTGAGCTGCACTGTTCACTGCAATGGCTCTGTGCACTGGCAGAGAAAAGCATCATTATTTCTTATTAGGTTACATGCACCACAAGTATTCTGTCCTGGACACTGTGTTAAAAGTTTTGCATACTTTATCTCATTAAATTCTCCCAGCAGTTATATGAGGTGGATGCTATGATATCTATTTTTACATAGAGGAAACTGAGATTGCCAATAGTTACTAACTGAAGAAATGATGCTGAGAAATGTTCAACACCTTCTCAAATGTTGTGTGAAACAGATCTGGGCCCTGAACCCAGCTCTTAATTACCTTATTAGAATATCTTGCTCTTCACCCCATAATGCAAGTGTACCCATAAAAACATTGAGAGATGATAGCTCTCCCCTTTTCCTGACAACATCCAGCGACCTGTACCTGCCTGTGTGTGTTAGATCATGGTGTTGCCACATGCACTGCAAGGCTTATCAAAGCTCATGTTCCAAAATACATCCCCTCTGCCTAACTAGTTCTAGGAACACACTTGCTGAGCCCAGCTCCTGCCCACCCATCCTGTTTGTCTTCCTTCCTGGCTTCCTCTGGAAGGGTGTACATAGGCTGAGGTCTAAATGTCGGCTGTTCCTCCCTCAGATACTCACTCCCATCCCTGGGAAAGGGACCAAGGTGAGAATGAACATGGACCAGGAAGACGGTTTTCTCCAGTGGAGATGGCAATCAGAACCAAATGGAGAGAGGCCACCATCAACTGGAAAGGAGCTGTTCCCTTTTTCTAAAGAGAAAAGCCATGATGTGCAGTGAAGTGTCAGAACTGCTAGGATAGAAAGATTAATTTGAGGGGACATTATTTCACATCTACATTACCCACAGAAAACCCCCACTAGCATTTTTTGGGAGGCGTCTGTGTTAGGTCCTCTGCAGTTGCTTTCAGAGTTGGAGGAGGAACAGTGGTACCTACAGCAGGGTCTGCAAGGTGTATCCTCCATACCACAGGTGACAAACATAAGACCCTCGGGTTGAATCTGGCCCTCCACCTTTTTTTATCCGGCCCCTTGTTTCTATCTGGTGGCAGTGCCAAGCTCCTTGCCCCTAGGTAAGGAGTAGTTACATTTATACAGCCCTAAAATTACATTCTGCCCTTTGAAGGCAACCATGAGGCTGATGTAACCCCCAGTGAAAATGAGTTTGACACTCCTGCTCTATAACCACGTATACCAGCTCTTTCATTCACTCAAACAAGAAAATGAAGTCTCTTTCCTGCATGTTATTTCGAAATTAGTCCTTTTTTGATATAGTTCTCCCTGAGGACTACAGATGCAGGCAGCTAGCTTTCTTTTCAGATGAAGTCATTGGCAATGCATCATCAGATTTTTAGCTATGGCAAGAACTCAAGCCTTCTCAAAGACTTCCTGGTGTGGACAGCATTCCTTTCCAAGGTCACATTTCATGTGCCCACATTAGCAAGTTCTGTCATTAAAATAGTAAATGGGCTTCATGGGCTGGGTGCGGCACTGTTCCCAGTGGGCTGGCCCCTGTGGCAGCTGCCTCATGGGTCTGGGTCGTCATGGCAAACACACAGCAGGAGGCATTCTTTCCATCAGTGCTGTTTGTTTCTTCTCTTTATACACTGGATAAAAATACACAGACAGACAAACCGAGAAAGAAGTCTCACTCCTGGATAGAACTAAATTATATGTAAAAATAAAATCTCTTCTTATGACATTTTTTGTCTCTTAAACCCTTTGCAGCTGCTTTTTGTGCTGTAGGAGAAATCATTCTTTTTAGAATATGATCTTTCCCTGTCCTGTTGAATGCCTATTTTTTCTGAAGAACTATGCAGAGTAAGACATACATTCTTCCTAAGGGAGTGCACAGGAACCGCCTGGGCCTTTTTCCCACCTGCCCTACTGATCTGCCAGCTCGCACACTTCAGGGCTTTGTAGTCACAAGCCAAAGGGTAGTTTGTAAAGAACAACTTTTCCACATGTACTTTCCAAGTTAATTTGTTAATGCATTTTCATTTGGCTCCAAAACAAAATGTTTTAACTTAAGGAGCATGCAAAAAATGAAACTTCAAGGTGAATAATAAATTACGTCAAAAGAGAAAGCCATTTTGGCTCAGATTGCTGCCTACAGCATCTGTACCATGTGTGCTTTCATTTGGGATTTTAAAAACATCGGACAAACGAGTGAATCCCGACAGACCCTTGTCTCATTTGGTCTTAGTTCAGCAATATTGTGCTTTCCCTGGCATGCAGCCTTGCTTTTGTTTTGGGGACACTGAGTTATTCCTAACTAAATGCCCCCTTTGGAGTGGCCAGTGAGAAACCCCAGCAACTGCATTGGTGAGAAAGATCCCGGCCACAAATAAGACATCTCACTGCAAGTGTCTCACACAAGGACATTTCCTTTCTAACAAGAATGGTCCAGCTAGGGGTCCATGTCTCTCTTAGACCAGGCATGGTTCATCCCCTCGGACTGAGCACCAGATGCCTGATTCCTGCGGAAGGAGCAGGGCAGGACGACTGCTGTGAAGGCAGCCAGTAGCACTGTGCACCGCCAGTATATTCATTCTTTAAAAAGACATTTTTTAATTGGCCTCACTTCTGAATTTATTTTTTTGTCCCTACTCTATTTTTCCTTTGAATTTTTAATTTATTTATAACATGTATTATTTTGCCATATTTTATAGGTGTTGTAATCCATCTTAAATTATTGGTGGAACAAATCTATAAATAAGTAATATAATAGAGGGAAGATTAAGAATCTATGTTTTATGCATAAAGGTATAAAATTTTGATATATATAGGTATTAAGAACTTTGCATGTCAATGTTCAGTGAAAATAAGTTTTTATTTTATCTTATAAATAGGGCACCCAATAATACTTGATTTTTTAAGGCAAAAACATGTTATTTAAAAGTAGGTAGAAATGTCCTGGAACTATCAGTTCACCTTTGAACATCCAGTGTTTTGAGAAGAATGACTTAATTGTCCTTCCAGCTTCTCAAACACGGAGCAAGAGACAGCCATTTGTTTAAAATCTAAGATAATAATTTTTCTGAATCGTTGCTTAAACTGGCTATGTCAGTAGTGGGACTAACCCCTGAAAGAGATGGCAGATACTGTTTTTTTTTCCCTCAAGTCTCAACTTGGACTGGAATGTTCCTCAAAATCATTGTTTGTTCTTCAAGAAAATGTGTGTAACATTTTTGCAGGTGGATGCTCACTGGTGTTAGAAGGTAGGTGGGACCAGGACAGGGGGACAGGCAGGCCCGAGGTTCCCTCACCATACACTGGCTGGGTTAGGTCTGTGCCATCCAGGTTACATGCAGCCTTTTGTCACACCTGGACCTGGTTTTACTATAAGTGAGTAACAAAAACTATGAACATTGATGACTGCTGTAGGGCCCTAGAGACACAATCAATCATTCATTCATTCATTCATTCATTCAGAGAACTTCTTAAACCTCTCCTACGTGTCAGGCTGGAGGCTAGAGAAACACTGTGAGCAAGACCAGCCATTGCCTCCCTTCTCTCATGGAGCTTAGGTTCTTCTGAGGGGATGACAATAAAAAACAAAACCACTTCAATGAATATGAACTTGAAAACTGAGATAAGTGGAGGGAAGGGATTTCTGATGAGTGATATCTTTTAACAAAAACCTGAAAGTTTAGGAAATGGCATCTCAGGAACAAATGGTTAAGCTGAGGTTGGGAGGTTGAGTAAAGATGACTAGGACAGGGAAAAAGGGATAGAAGGTGCGAATTCCTGTGCTGAATGAGCCTGAGGAACAAAGAAGCTGGTGGGGCTGCAGTGCAGAGACGAGGTGGAGAATGGCTGAGAGCAGCTGGAGGGGTAAATGAGGACCCACCACAAGGCAGAGGAGATGAGGCAAGGCAACCTCAGGAGATTCTAAATGGCCTGGTAAGATTTGCATTTCTTAAAAAAAGGCTCAGTGTGGAGAATGGGGTAGAGACAGCCCAGAGTCATGCAGAGACTAGTTAGAAAGCTGTAGCAATGGTCTAGACAAGACAGGACAGAATATAGTGGAAGCAGTAAACATAGAGCAAAGTGGTCCACTCAGGAAATTCCGCTTGGGGGTTAAAATAGACAAGAGCAAGAGATTGATTGCAGGGTGAGGGAGAAGAAGGAGAAGGAAGACTCGGGAATGACTTATGTTTCTGGTTTGAAAACCTGGTGGAAGGCTGTGCCTCCACTGAACATGAAAATAACAGATTTGGAGGGAAGAAAGTCACAAGTTCAGTTTTGGACATGACCATTCGTGTAGAAAGGTAGAATGTGGATTGGAATTAAGGATCTGGGACTCAGAGGAGAGGTCTGGACCAGAGAAATACCTGTGGGAGTCAGTGATGGTAAGTGGCACGATGATCTGGAATAAAATTGCGTGAGGAGAGTATGAAGCAAGAAGAGAACTTGGCCCAAAATGAGCCCTGAGGAATTCCAGTGTCAGTAGCCAAGTGAGACACTTGACTAGCAACAGCCAGGAAAGCGGGGGCAGAGAAGACACAGACAGATATAGGAGATGGCAGGTAGGTAATAGCCAAATAAAAGGTGTTTTCAAGCTTCTGGTTATGTGAGGCCCAGAATTTTTGCAACTCGTGTGACTCTTTATATTGAGTGAATGAGTGAATGAGTGACTGAGTGAATGAATGAATGAATGAATGAAGCATTTTCAGTCAATGGCTCTGTGTTAAAATCAACCAGAGAGGATTAAGTTTATTTATTTATTCAATCCAGCCAGTTATTCCAGGATATCCAGTGTAACCTTAATTCTGTTGAATGTATTCATATCCCACTCCTTCCAAGAAGGATTCAGGGTGGCTGATAACTGGTAAACCTTCTGGAGAACTTTCTATGTTTTTAGGTGTTTTTATCACTGTACCCAATTAAAAAAAATTCTCTACTGTCCACAAGATGGAGCTATTAGAGTGACTTTTTTCATCTCATTATCCAACATAATTATCAACATATTTATGGGCAATTTTTTTAACTTTTAAAATTATATTTTATTCTTTATGCTATTACAGTTGTCCCAAATTTTCCCCCTTTGTCCCCCTCCACTCAACCCCCTACCACTCTCTCAACAATCCCCTCACCATTGTCCATGTCCAAGGGTTCTGCATATATATTCTTTGGCTATTCTATTCCCTATGGTACACTTCACATCCTCATGACTTTTCTCTAACTACCAATTTGTACATCTTAACCCCTTCACCTTTTTCACCTATCCCCCTGACCCTACTCCCATTTGGCAATCATCAAAATGTTCTCTGTATATATGATTCTGTTTCTGTTCTGTTTGTGTTTATTTTGTTTTTCAGATCCAATTATTGATAGATACATATTTATTGCCATTTTATTGTTCATATTTTGATCTTCTTCTTAAAGAAAGCCCTTTAACTTTTCATATAATACTGTTTTGGTGATGATGAACTTCTTTAGTTTTTTCTTTGTCTGGGAAGATCTTTATCTGCCCTTCAATTTCAAATAAGCTTTGCTGGGTAGAGTAATTTTGGTTGTAGGTCCTTGCTTTTCATTACTTTGAATATTCTTGGCAATCTCTTCTAGCCTGCAAAGTTTCTTCTGGGAAATCAGCTGACAGTCCTATGGGGGGGGCTCCCTTGTAGGTAACTAACTGCTTTTCTCTTGCTGCTTTTAATATTCTGTCTCTGTATTTAACCTTTGGCATTTTAATTATGATGTATCTTGGAGTGGGCCTCTTTGAGTTCATCTTGTTTGGGACTCTATGTGCT